TGATGATGATGATGATGATGATGATGATGATGATGATGATGATGATGCTTATTCGAGGCCTGGACAAAGAATAGCGGCTAGTGATCATATTCTACCCACTGCTACATGGAATACGACAAACCTAACTGTATGCACGTTGAAGCTGTTTGGGCTCCTTATCCGTTCAAATTTAATGGGTGCGATACCTTCAAACATTTCATAGCTGCTGAATGTCCATTTAACCGTGCCTGGATAGCAAGTATTGGACAATGTCCGGCGTGTTCAGTTCAACCTATTCTATTGTATAGAACTCGTACACTTGACGAAATCCTGCACCATCCTTGAGGAAAACACATTCCAAGGCTTCCAACGGGCTTGTCCAGCAACTGTATGACTTGCGCTCCCCAGCACGACGAGCGATGGGCTCTCGGTCGTTGAGGCCCGGCACGTGGGACGGTGGCGATGGAGACGTCACGAGCCTCAGCACAACTGGACGAAGCGCCGAAGGGCATCGCTACTAGGAGCAAGGACGCTACTAGGAACAAGTGCATCGCTTCTAGTAACAAGTGTCTTACTAGTAGTAACAAGAAGCTACTAGGGGCTCCTGGCATCGCTAATAGGAGCAAGGACGCTACTAGTAGTATGTCTTCAAGTAGAGCTCAAGCAGGGCCCTGTTGCGGCCTGGAGCTGGCAACGCTGGAACAGGCAGGAACTGTAGTCTTTGTCCACAGCCTTCGGTTCTGTTGGATCTCTGCGTTTCTTGTTTCAATAGCGATAGCCTCCAAACTAATAGCAATGGCCTCCAACCTAAATGCTCAGTGAGAACATACGTTTCAACTCTTCACTTTTCGATCGTCGACTCTGCACAGCTGTGCAACTGTTCCAGATGGACTCAGCCGGCAGACTTGGCTTTTGGACTGAGGTTGTCAGCGTAGCAGGACGTAGTAGCGCTGAGGCACTCGTAAAATCCTTTGTTCCTTTCCTGATTACTGCACAACTAAAACAACAGCGTAACCCAAGCAAACATCAGCGGGACACTCATGCCGTCTTCTTGTAGTACTGCTACTGGATGGGAACAAATTAAAATCGCTCAATAGGTCCTCTCTGGCCTGCGACTCGGGGCAAACAGTCCGTGGAAAGAATGTTTTGTAGGTTACGGTTGCAGGAAGGAGTAAACAAACACTCATGTGAAGAGCCTCCACATATTATGGTCAGCGAATATCCTCAAAACTAGCCCATCTGCATCCACCTGGCTCCACCAACCAAATCAGGGGCCTCCCTTCAGTCCCCAATCAGACCTTGCGAGATGAACAGTGGTCACTGGAGGTGATGAGTTTGTTGGATCCCGACCAATCCGCTACGCTACACCGGGAGTATAAATAAACATACATAATAGATCGATCGGGTCTCAAAGCCGTTTTTGGATACCTTCCATGGTCCATGTGACCTATGGTCATATTTGTAGGTCATATTTGTTTGCTTACCATGGAGCCTTTGCAAACTTTGGACCATGGCAAACGGAATAGGAAAAGGGAGAAGGACATGGATCCGTCGCATTCCTGCCACATCGTTTCTCATCTCGTTCCGTCGTGGCTCAAGAAGCAACGTCTCAGTGTCCCAACATGATCACGTTCAACGACTCGGCTGAAGCTTTCCTGGCGTTCACAAACGTCCGGAAGGACCTCAGGTAAGAGGCCTCTGGTTTCTTGTTGCTCGGTTTTGTTGGTGGATTGAGTGTTCGGGATTGCTCTTCCAGGGGTAGCAGCTTTACCTGCTTTCATACTTTTTTTTCAGACTGCTTCCCCTGCTTCCCGGTGTCTCGAAAGCGGGGCAAAAGAACCAACGATCAGGGAGCAGCTGTCCACCTTGTGGGTTTGGATGTCAGGGAAAACACCAAGCATGCACATATTCTCATCAGCTTAACATTCCCAGCCACAGCAAATCAATGTGCCTATGTTTGCAGCCTTCTGCCAAGCGCTCTGCCTAGGACCCATTGAGGCCGGCCCTTGGGGATCGGATCTCAGCGGCTCGCTCGGATAGGATCCTTGGATGGATTTCCTTGAAAAACACATGTAAATTATACACATCATGAGGTTGCTGGAGATTTCGGTTTTGGCTTGTTTTGGTCGTTATTTGTGTTGTCTTGTTTCTTGTTTTTTTAATCTCCAGGGTGTGGCATGTTGAATTGATTTGTTGCTGTTTGTTCATTATTTCCTCATATCATATCATATTGACAGTATCTTTTCTCTGTGCAAAACAAGGCTTCACTCCAGGCAAACCACACCAGGATAAGACATGGTTTGTACACCCCGCGTGCGAGCATTTGGCACTCCGCACCAAGTTCACAGAAAAAGCAGAAACAGCGTAACAGCTCTTGTGTCTTTTTCCTGAACTTGTTTGATCTGGATGTCCATGCACACAAGTCTTCACCTTGTCTGCACAATGGCACCCTTACGCGTCAAGCTAGACCTGCATCCTGGTCATATTTAGGCTCATGATTCATTTGTAGTGTAAAATATAGAATCTATATAATTCAACCTGTTGGGCCTTCTTGATCCATCTTTGGCTTTCAAGTTCCTGAAGTACATCCTGCTTCCAAGTCAATTAAATCCTATCTCACTTCATCAAATGTCTGCCTCTCACATCTTTGAACATCTTGCATCCCGGATCCCCATAAATTTAGGAACCAAGTGAATAGTGCGGTCCAGAGCGTGGGCCATACTCCTTACTTAGTTAAGTGGGCACCCACTTAAAGAAGTAAGGGCGGGCTAAAAAGTAACAACAAACACTGTGAAAAGAAATTGGCCCGGCGGGCGGCTCTTCCAAGACAATCTTCATACCTCCGCGGGCGTGTCTAAGTCTCCTGTGCGCGAAGAAGTCGCTCCGGGAGTCGCAGGCCTTTTGCGCCTGGCGAGTTGACCGCCGCACGGCGAGGATCGTCACCGATGGGATCAATGCGGATGCTGCGGATGTGGGGACGTCCTGACCTGTCCAGGCTTTGCATCGCTCACTACGAAACCAAGCACAGCAAACACATATATATATATAGAAACCCGCAGCTTCTGTTTTATTCCAAGAAGCGCAAGGACCTGTGCTTCTTCGCCGGTTGTTCCCTGCCTGTGACCCCAACTCCATGACTGGCTGCAAGATCTTGGCCCAATCGGTGTCCTCGACACACGGACGTAGGCTAGCATCAAGGACCTTTTGAGAGAGGAACTTTCACAGACCTTTGGCTGATGAAATCTCTCAAAATCGATCATAGTCACTTTAGTCGGTGTTTCCTTTTCATTATTTTTTGGTTGGAAGTTGGAAGAGGATTTTCTTCTTCCTGGTGGGCCACAAGTATGAGTCTGGGGAAACACATTATCCAGGTTTTTGCTCTTCTGATGCTGCAGATTCGAGGGCATTTATTGGAAGGAACTTTCACAACATCACCCACCTGAAGTTGGCAAGCCCAAAGCAACCAGCTAAGGTTCCAGTGCACCAAGTTAAACATGCAGTCTGACTCGAACCACTCTGAGTCCCTGGATGAGATGTTGCATGAATTGGTTGCTAGTTAATGTGGCGGTTCAGGTGTTCATGTCCTCAAACAAGACCGTATCATTGAGCAACACAGTAACACCTCAAAAATAATCAAAAAAATCGTTTAACACGGGAAAAGCCAACAAAACGCTGGCAGGTTACACGTCCTCCACATGGTTGGCTGGGAGTAATAATCACATAAAATCCAACCAATTGTGCAGGTGTTTGCGTATGCGGATCAAGAACCTCATGCAAAAGCAAGACTCAATTGCCAGCACACATGATCACACATGGTGAATGGTCCTAATAGGGGCACACAACTGGGCACACACGCCATCCAAATGTTAGGCGCATATGACATACGACCCTTAAGTTCTTGGGTCGCAAACACCTTCTACGATGGAGTCGAAACGAACACCCGTGGAGCGTAGATGTCATAACCAGTCCGAAAAAGACCAATCAAGACCGTTCGTCCCCCTAGGACGCATATGGACGCATGTATTGCGGCAGCTGGGCAGGATTGCAGCGGCCTGAGGTTTTTGGCAGCTGCCAGTGGCCAAGAGCAAATCTCTCAGCAACCTGAGAGGGAGAGCGCCCGCCGTCGACCCTCCGAGGGAAGGACCGTCAAATGCTGGAACGATTTGATGTCTCCAACAGGGTCTTAAATTTTAATAAGTACGCTTTCAGTTTTTGTAGGATGTCTACATGTAATCAAGACCAAATTCCTTCCCAACACCATGCCTCGCTTTGATCCACATTAAGAAAAACGTGCTTTAAACGCCCGGCCCCGTGCGACAGTGGGGCACCGTCCAAACCGAAGCGGCTCTGCTCCAGGGCTGACAGTTTCCAAGAGTCCCAGCAAACTGAAGCGGCCCGTTTGTTTTTAAATCTGTCATCGCTAATAGATATGGGCTGGGTCTATCCTATTACCTGCAACAGTGGATGATGATGGTGAGTAAAGGCCTTGTTCAAAAATGATGATACTGTAATTGTTAACTGACTGTTACAGGTAATAGGACAAAACCTACTTATGGGCCCTATGGGAACCTAATAGCAACGGGAATCTCATTTGTGGCCTCCAACCTACTAGCGATGGCCTCCAACCTACTAGGGATACTAAGACATGCGGAATACCTGATCAAAAGCCTGAAAATGGGCCGGTAGATGTGCATGATGGAGAATGAACACGGGAGTATCAGGCCAAACCCAAAGTGGGCAACAGTCTTTCGGGGTGTGTCTGCCCCGTCCCAATTCATCAGTGCCGGCATGGGCGCCCATCATGCAACATCTGGGAAATCACAGGACTGCTCTAAATGGCAATAAAACATCATATTTCATGGATTCCCAATCCCTTTTCAAACAGGCAGAGAATTCGGTCCCATATCCAACCAAAAATGCACCAGAGTCTTTTTCACCACTTTTCAGCAGCTCACTCATTTGGTGATCTAGCTATGTGATGCCAAGTGGACTTGCAAATGAAAGTCCCTTACACCCATTTCACGCAGGCTACTTGGCAGCACCACGCCTTCGAAGCTCTCATGGGAATCAAGGAATTCTCCTAAAGTCAAGGATCGCAGGTTACTTGGCCATTGGACATGCTCCAAGCTCTGGTTAAAGCCTTCGCCCAAGGTCAACGTCTGCAAGCCACTTGGCAGCGCTACCTCTGACATGCTCTGGTCGAAACTTCCCCCAAAGGACAAAGTCTCCAAACTGCTTGGCAGCGTTACATGGTCTAAGGGTTGATCGTAAAGATCGCCAAAGGTCAAGGTCCGCAGGCTGTTGGGCAATGTGACACCAGCCAAGCTTTGGTTGAATTCACTTCCAAATGCCAAGGTCTCCAAGCTGGAAGGAAATATCACAGCCTTCACGCTCTGGTTAAAGGAAATGCCAAAGCTCAATGTCCGCAGATTACCGGGTAGTTTCACACCTTTCAGGGAATAGAGAATGAGTTTTAGGAGCCCGGCCCGGTGAGTAACGTGTTTCTTTCCCTCTGAAGCATTACAAAGATCAAAGGCAAACCAACATGACTGGCGCCGCATTCGCCTTCCAAGCTCTGGTTGAAGAAAACCCCAAAGGTCAAAGCTTCCAGGCTTTCTGGTAGCGGTGGTGATGCCAAGCTCTGATTGAACGAGTCGCCAAAGGTCAAAGTCTTCAAGCTCTTGGGCAGAGTCTTCAGCCCTGCCAAGCTTTGGTCGAAGCAAACTCCGAAGCTCAAAGACTGCAGTGTGTCGGGCAAAGTGACACCATCCAACATCTCATCGAAACCTGGAAGATTTGTCGCAATCGAACAACGCACCAGAAACTCGACGTGTTTGGGCCGCCTTCTCGATTTGTGTTTTTGTTTGTATGCCATTTTTACATATAAATAGTTATCAAGTATCCAGCAACGAAACATGAGTATGGCCAGAAACTCTAATGCCAAGTCTCGACCACAGGTGTTGGTTCATGTTTTCTGTTACCATTGTGGCAGGTGCATTGTAGTTGCTGGCCACATGCCATATCCAAATCTCCTGATCTCCAGGATTCCTGTTTCTACTAGCTTCTTGTTACTACTAGCAAGGCACCTGTTACTACTAGCGTGGCACTTGTTACTAATAGCTTCTTGTTTCTAATAATTCCAGGAAACAGTCGCCAAATGCCAAGATCCTCATTCGGCTTGGCCAAGTGACCTGGAAAAGGACGAATTTGGTCCTCTTGGCGCTCATCAGGGCAAGCCTTTTGGGGGAACTGAACACTGGGTGCTTTTGCTTAATCACATTGTTTTGGGACAGTCTTCCTCAAACGTCACCAATGGATCAAGTATGCTGAGACTGTTGCGGACAAACAGGAAATAACATGGAATCATACACAAGAAATTTATTTGCTACTAGGAGCAAGGACGCTACTAGGGGCTCCTGGCCTTACTATTAGGAGCAAGAGCAAGAAGCTATTAGGGGGCTATTTGCTTGCACATACGTTACCTTGACACGGTAAGATCATGCACTTTATAGGTATATGATTCAAACATCTTCAAATATGGCTGTGGGTCAAAACCGGGGGACACCTCTTAGCCACCGAACATGAACAGAATAGACTAGAGGGGCTCTTACAAATGTTCATGGACCCCCACTGATTATGTGTTGTCCTTCCAATAGCCCTTTCCGTGGTGCTGTTCACAAATGTAATTACTTAACTTATATTGTATAATTTGATAGAATGTGTATTGAGATAGCTCGATTCCAGGAAATCTCGGAGTCTATCAGTTCTGATGTCTGACTCCCAGCAAAATTCCAACAGTGTTCGCACAGGTCCCAAGGTATCCCGTGGTCTTGATGGGGTGTCCTGTCCTTATTCCATACCCATTTTTTCGCACGAACAATGACCTGCACAATGGGTTGAACATGGTTGAATCCTGCTGTAAATTATGGATGGTCCGACTCCTGCTATTTAGGGTCCAATAACTTTAAGTGGCACAAATAAAGAATAACTTGCTGAGCACCGCTGAGCGCGTACTTTTGATTTCCCAACTGTCATGTTGGGGTATGTTGGGATGCTTATATCTGACATCATCTGACCCAGATTATTGAAATGCAGCACTCTGGAAATGATCATGTAGCCCTGAAGACCGCCTGTTGTTTGGCAGGTACTGTACCCGTCCCCCGTGTTCCTGATCCTGGCATATAATTTGCATGATCCTAGCACTTACACCAAAAGAAGGCTCAAGTCTTTCAGGCCCACTAAGCATTTGTAACAACGTGTTTTATCAGGTCAAACTGGAGCATCCATTCAACGACACCCCAGAAAACCAGAGCCTCCTTTTTTGGAGGGGGGCTCCAATCACGACTCACTGAGGAGTGGCTGCGACCCCAAGGTTTGCCGCCTCGAGCAGGTCCAGAAATCCGCTCAAGGTGAAGGTCTGCAGATTCTCCGGCAATGGGATGGGACATTGACAATCTCCCACTGTCAACTCGGTCCTGGGAAGTTCGGATGGACTTGGAAGAACCGGCCAAGTCATCACAAGGGTCGCATCGGTGCTTGGGCCGCTATGGCCGGTCATTGACGGTCCACGGTTTCCCCGACCACTGGAAGCCGCGTTCACCCACAGCTGCAGAATAGACGGAAGTTGATGGAGCTTCCCAAGGGCCGCCCATCCGACACTCCACGTCTTTTTTGAAAGAAAAGTGGAATCCTCCAACCAAGAGGGGCATGTCCTATGAATCCGACGGCTTGAGGACCTAATCTTGTGGTAGTCATCCACTTGGATTGCTTGGGTCACCAAATCAAGTATTGCCCCTACCTACTGAGGTCGTCGTGCGGCAGGGCAAGCGCGACGACGGAACAACAATTCTCCGAGTTGCAGGGTAGCTGGCAAGGTGATACCTGGTTGGTAGTTTGAAGCAGTCCCACCAAACAAAACGAGTCAATCCAAGTATGTTCCAACGATTCCCACAGGAGGTTTTAAACAAGCAAAACTAATTAAAAAACTGCCGAAATACCCAGATCTTCATGATAATCACAACTCAAAGTCAAGGCCTCCAAACTTGGAAGGACGACACCCTCCAGCGTCTTCTCTATCTCATCGCCCAAACGCAAGGCCTTCAGCGTTGGCAGTGCCACCTGCGCCAAGCTCTGTCTGAAGGACTCTCCGAAGAATAAGGTCTTCAAAGTGCTTGGCAGAACCACGCCAGCCAACACCTCAGTCGAACTCAACCCATGGATAGCAAAGATTGTTTGCCTCCAAATGTGAGCCCACAAAAAAGGGCTTTTGCAGGTAGCACGAAGCCGCACGAAGCCATATGTTGTGTATAGACAAGATGAAGCTACTAGCACATGAACTGTTAGAATCGGGGGCCCTGTGCTATCCCAAAACCAGTGACACCAGTTGCCCAATCTCTGCCCAGCCCACCTGGTTGAATTCGTCACCAAAGATCCTGGGGCCAAGCGGCTTGAGACCAAGCAGGATGTGATAAACATCAGCAAACCCTGGGATTTGACTTGCCCATTCTCACTCCCTATCATGCCTATCCTTCAGGTACTACTTGTGTAGGTAATACTTGCTTGCCTCGTCTGAATCATTAAAAAGAAGTCTGGAGGTTCAGGTGATGCCCTTGTTACGTTCGTAGCTTCTTGTTCCTGATAGTAATGCCAGTAGCTTCTTGTTACTACTAGTAAGGCACTTGTTACTAGTAGCGATGCACTTGCTACTAGTAGCTTCTTGTTCCTAGTAGTAATGCCATGAGCTACTAGTAGCTTCTTGTTACTGGTAGGTTCTGTGTGGTTCAAGGAGACCACCAGGGAGCCCCACGAGTCGGGCGCCAGTGCGGCCGAAGTGGTTTTTGTGGCACTGAAGTCGTGACTTTTGCTGTTGACGATGACTTCACGGTCTCCCCCATACAAAATGTTTGACCATTTACTTTAGGAGTAGGGTGACAATTTCATCACCAGTCAGTAATAACCATTGTCGATATCAAAACAATTTAACACATATTAAACCCAAAAACAACAAAGAGAGGCTAAATGCAGGCCAAGGTCAGTGTCTCCAGGCTGCATGGCAACTTCACCCCAGCCAAGCTCTGGTTGAAGCAGTTGCCAAAGGTTAGGGTTCGCAAATTCTCAGGCAAAGAATTTGCGCGGAATGGCTGGTTGAAATCATAGCCGAAGGTCAAAGTGTGTAAGCTTTCTGGCAGCCTGACATCTTCGAAGCTTTGGTTGAAGTCAGAGTCAAATGTCAAGTTCTGCAGGCTGCTGGGCAGCGTAATCCCTTGCAGACTTTGGTTGAAGCGATGACCAAAGGTTAATGTGTGCAAAGAGCTGGGCAGCAAGACACCCTCAAGGCTCTGGTTGAAGGAATGACCAAAGGTTAAAGTCTGCAAATTCTTTGGAAGCGCTCCTGTCACGCTGTGGTCGAAGGCATAGCCGAAGGTCAAGGTCTCCAAGCTGTCAGGCAGATTGACGCCTTTCAAACAACGGTTGAACCGGTCGCCAAACGTCAAAGTCTGCAGACTGCTTGGGAAGGTGACATCGTTCAGGCTCTGGTCGAAATCGTTGCCAAAAGTCAAATTCTGCAAACGGCTCGGCAGCAGGACGCCTTTCAAACTCTCATTGAAATTCTCGCCAAAGGTCAATGAGGCAATTGCATCAATGGCACACACATCTTTCGCACACAAGCGAACTCCTTCTTCTCCCGACAAGGCTTGCAAGAAAGAAACCACTGCCTGACCTGCGCTAACTTGTTGTATGATGTATGTAACCTCTGCATCGGAAACTTGTTGCCACAAGCCTTCAGCCTCTTCAGAGTCTTCTAACATTTTACCGCCCGATGTCAGCACCAGCATTTTACCCACCTGCAAGTCAATTTGTGCAGCGATACGCTTGGAAATATCTTCCACCGTGGCAGTCTTATTGGCTTCGAGCTGAAATGTTGTGCCATCAAGACCGCAAATGTTGAAAGTGACTCTTGCAGGTGCCAAAAAGGTGTCATCTGAGTCATCTGCATGGCAACGTGCTTCTGCCACTAGCCTAACGGAGGTATGTCTAATCAGGTTCTTTAACAAACCGCGCACGCTGTTGTAAACTCTTCGTGGGGGGTGCTAAAAACATCTAGATAATCTTGCCGTTCAATCACAATGAAACTACCTGGTGGCCAGTGGATCCCAGTTACCACTATATAAGGAACCAAGGTTTCTACTGTGGGTCTATGGATTTGGTCTCTGGAGCCACTGGTTATGAGCTATAGTGGTAGTGGTAACTGGATCCCCTTGGCTGAACATGAAACAGCTTGGAATGTAACATGTACCAAAAAATGCCAAAACTAATAGACATGACAGAGCTAAGTTATTGGCCAGGCATCCGTTCTGCACGCTCCAAATCTTTCTTGATAAAGCCCAGCAGGGTCTCATCATCCACATGTGTGCTTGCCCCTGATCCCATTGGTTCATCCAAGAACAAAATGAACGTTGCTTTCAGACCGATGACTAATTTCCCAATGCTTTCAGACCTTCAGATTTAGGTATGCAACATGATGTTACGTCAGAAAGAATCAAACACATGCAGCATGCAACAAATAGCAACATTGGGCGCTTGGAGGACAATGACTGGATCATGAGGGCTGTCCGTCTTCCAACCTCTGACACATCTGCGCTTTCAGTTGCCTGCTTTGTCTGATGCTCCAAAATAT